AAACTCGTGCACCATGAACCCCGGCAGGCGTGAAACGTCGTTGATCAACTCTTAATACAGCTAAACAAAGTAGAAAAGTCATTTTGCACCCTCATTAAAACACGAGGCAACAATTGTAAGTAAAATGCAACTGAAATATATGAAATCTAAATTTACCATTAAGGATAATGTGCTTGGTTTAAACCGAATTTATACCAATCAAGCCAATTTCAACTGAGTAGATTCCATTATATTTAACAATTTGCATTGTTCTAATGTAAAAAAAAAATTACCTGGAAGATTTACATGTAATTGCACTACTTTACGTTTGTATTTGGGGGTGGGGGTGAGACGTAGAAACACTACAAAAAGTGAGATCTCACTTTGTAAATCGCCCTACATAGTGACATTTTCTGTTTTTATTTACAGTAAAATTTGTAAACATGACCATGTATGAAGTGTATTAGCTTAAAATTAGAGGTCTTTGCTTAAGCCCGGTTACCGTAATGCGACTTATCCCTCTTAAGTAAGCCCAACTGAGTGCGAGTTGAGGTTACTTAATTATTAGTCAACAAGCAAGACAAGCTATTAAGTTTTACAGTTTAATGGTGTAATAATTAAATAGACTATAACAGAAATTCTCATAGATAATTTCACAGTGTAGTTTTAGTTATTTTACATCAGCAACAAATCAATTTCCTCTTCCAGTTAAATTCAGAAGTTTTCAGAAAGACTAAATGAAAGACAGATATTAATTATGAATTAAATTTAGGGGTTAAAGTGTGGTTGTTCATGAGTTTGTGAACCCTTTGCAATTTCCAGGATTTCTGAGCTGATGAATCATCAAATAGGATCTGATATTCAAACAAAATCCGACTAAAATGAACATAAAACATGGTACTTTACATTTCTATTAAACACACAGTAATCAGGCATAGTGCAAACTGGAAAAAATAGTTGAACTGGCAGATTTGCCAAGTCGCAGATGCTCCTTTAGCACCAGCAACCTCCCATCAAATGATTGCTTTTGCTGGTTGTGAGACTTGGTCTGTGATGAAGAGAAATTTTGATCCCTCTAGAGAGGATCAAACTTTGCCTTTATTTATACATTCTGCAGGGAAATCCCTAAACCCACCAGTTCCAGTCTCATCATCTTAACTGGAACATTTGACTCCAAGCATATGGTGAAGTCATTAGCACAGAGGATCACTCTTACTTTTGCACTTTTTTTCAGTTTGAAGTCATAATCTCACTTAACAACTGTTTTCTCTGCTCTAAATGACAGATAGAAATGTGTATACTTTCTAAGCTACCAAGCCACCAGGACAAATGGAGAAAAATTAGCACAGTGGCTAACAATATGCTAACAGGTAAAAGAGTAGGGTTATGCTAACAGCTACGGTAGCAAGCAGCCTTAGCCCCAGAACAGTCTCTGTAAAATCATAACAGTCAAAGGTTTAATGTTTGGTTGTTGTTTTTTTGTTTTTGTTTTTTTTTAGTTGGCAGTAAAATTGCTATAACAGTTTAGCATTAATAAAACAAAGAAAAAGGAAAAAACTGTCTCATTAAACACTTAAGTGATGGTCTGATGTTGGTATTTTGCAGTTTTACATAAGAGATGGCAGTTCACATTGTTTATTACTGTTAGAGTCATGTGGTTTTGGACAGTGCAGTTTACATTTATATATCTATATATATATATATATATATATATATATATATATACGTGTGTGTGTGTGTGTGTGTGTATACTGATTATATTCTATTAAAAAACAGTAATGAAGAAGTTCGTTCTTCTTTCCTGTTATTACCTAATAGATTATTATTAGTTAGATTGTAGTTTATTTTAGAAATGACCTTAGTGATATCAAGTTCACATTTTATGCCTTTATCAGTCATGAAATCACTTTATTCCTGACAAGTTACTAACCTTAGAATTCAAACAGCAGGTGATTCTGACATGGGTCATTGTGACACATTCATTTAACAGGAAATAATGAATAAGATAGAAATAAAAATCTGTAAAAATATAATGCACATTAGATGTATATTTTGCAAACATATGTTGAACATAGTCTTGAGAACAACTGTATGAGTGTGTGCATGTGTACGACAGTGGTGGGGGAGCTTACTGAAAGTTGAGCAGCCTGGTGGTTTGGCTGAAGAAGCTGCAGAATCCAGTTATTCTGTTGTGTATCCTGCGAGTCTCTTCCCAGAGGCCAGCAGGAAGTGTATGGTGGGGGTGGGAGTGGTCACGTGTGACTTTGTTTGCTCTGGTCAGGCAGCGCTCTTGCGCAACATCCTGGATGTGGGGAAGTGGAGTCCCAGTGATCTTTTCCAGTGTCCTCACCACTCTCTGCAGGGACTTCCAGTCTAAGGCACTGCAGGCTCCTGACCACACAGACATGCATGCGGTCAGTAAGTTCTCTATAGAGCTTCTATATAAAGTGGTGAGCATGCGAGGGGGGAGGTGAGCTCTCCTCAACCGGTGGGAAAAAGTGCAGGCGCTGCTGAGATCTCTTTACAAGAGAGCAGAACAGGGTGTCTGTTATCTGTATCCACAGAAACTTGATGCTGCTCATCATTTCCACTGTGTTGTTGGTGATGAGAAATAGCATGTGACTGTACTGGCTCCTCCTAAAGTCAAAGATAGTCCCCTTTTGGGTTTTTTTGACATTCAGAGCCAAGTAGTGTGTGCTGGTTCAGTTGGTTCACTTCCTCTCTGTAGGCCTGGTTGTTGTCATCTTGAATGAGACCTGCTACCACTGTGTTGTCAGCATACTTTACAATGTGAATCTCGGACAGCAATCATGGGTTAGCAGGGGGTTCAGGACACGGGCCTGAGGAGAGCTGGTGCTCAAAGAGATGAAGTTACAGTCTGGTCAGGTCTCTTGGTGAGGAAGTCTTACACATAAGGGTGCTGAGGCCCATGGGAACTAGTTTAGCATGTTCATGCTGTTGAATGATGATCTTAAACGATGAAATGAAGTCCACAAACAACATTTGCTTGGCTGAGATGTAGTACAGAGAAGATGGCGTCTTCTGTAGAGTGATTTGGGTAGTAAGCAAACTGTAATGAAAACAGTGTGGTCCTTTACCAGCTGCCTTTAAGGTGGGTGCTACAGGGCAGAAATCATTTAAACAAGTGATTTTCAAGGTACTGCAATGATGGCAGCAATCTTGAAACAAGACAGTAGGACATTGTGATCCAGTGACATATTGAAGGTGTGCTGGTTGCTGCATTCCTTAAACATCTAACCAGGTATGTCTTCAGGGCTTCAGCTATTTCAAGACTGCTCATCAGCAACTGGAACATTTTTCTTTACGGGTGTGTTGCTGAGTGCCTTGAACCTCCCAAGATATTTGTTGAGCTCATTTAGAAAGGTTGTATTGTTCTCACAGGGTGGAGGAGCAGCTTTATTGTCTGGGATGTCTTAGATAGTCTGCTACATTTGTCTGGTATTCATAGGGTCATTGAAGAAACTCTGTATTCTCTAGTGATGGTGCTTTGGTACCTTTATGCACCATGTTGCCAGAGTTAAAGAGTAATTTTGTACTTTGAACATTGCATCTTTCATCATCCGTGGTGTCTCGCTGGCCTGTACGGTGATGTTCTTGGTGACAGATACAACAGCAATTGAATGACTGAATGCACAAAGTCAGCATAACCATTCACATTTGTAATGATTGCCAGTTGCAGCTGCTTTGAACATGAATAATCATGTCATCATCATCACCATGAAAAAGGTCAATCTCAAAAACTGATGTGAAGTTCTATTTCAGGGTTAAAGCTTTTGACTCAAGTACAGTATGTATATGTCATCTCATACTTCCCCTCTATTTATAGAGGCAAATATTATTATTATGTATTGACAAGCACGAATACAATAAAACCATAAATAAATGAAAGAAATTAAATGAAAGCACTACAATAATAAAAATTTACATTTTGTGGTTTTTATCGTAGACAAAATGGAACACGCGTGGAGGGAGAAAATATGGATTGGAAACATGGATTCTTTTTAAAAAAGAAAAAAAGGCTGTTTTTATTTTTGACATGAGGCAATCCTTTTTTGTTAGCTACATATAGCAACCAACCTTCTGACCTACATACAACAACAAATAGCAACAGATGTTAGCAAATATAAATGAAAAGTTCCATATTGGCGTTTTTATATTGTTTCTCACAGGGAGCTGCAGGGGGTGGACAAAGGAGCCATAACAACTCCTGAAATGGCTTAACAGATATAAAACAATCAAATCAGTGATTAGCAGCTAATTTGACAATTATACAATTATGAAAAAAAACAAAGAAATGAAATATGTCATTGTTCTGGCTTTTCACATCCTGCAGTTCCTTTCAATACTTTCACTTAGTTTTCTTCTTTATAAATAATTTATTGGTTAAAAAAAAAAAACATGATTTGAAGATGCCAGTTTAGGCTCTGGGTACTTGCATTGGGCATTTAACAAAAAAAAAAATAAATTTTTTTTTTCTAGAATTGTTACAAAACAGCAAACAAACAAAAAGAAAAATCAGCCATTTAACTTAATCATCCAGAAAAATAGCAATTTAAGTCTTAAAGAAATGATCAATAAACAATTAGGGTTCAAATTAATTGAAGGCTAATGCTTACATTTTGGTATGGGTGAAAGTTTAACTTAAATAATGCTATAACACTCGCCTACAATAATACCTACATTTTTCCTGATTTTAGCTGTTTTTACTTAAATAACAACTTTTATTTTTAATGTAATATTTTTTCAATACGATTTTATATTGCCCACCTCAGCTCATATTAGCAAATATTTTAAAAATTTCCACTTATAATTACTTTTAGATTCGGACCGGCTTTCAAAAAAACCAAACAGACTGAGGTGCAAAAAGATGACGAACTGTGAAATGAATAAATGACCAAATTCAAACACTGGAGGGTGCCAAACTTAAGATGCAAAAGCACAAAGTAATATTCAGGGGGATGGTCATGTTGACACATTTTAGAAAAGAGCAGGTCAAAACATTCACCATTCGATTTTATTAATCAAAAGTCGAATTACAGTAGGGGCATGTTATTTTTCCCCCCCAAAACGTATACCAAGCAAATGTAGGAAAATTAAACTGCATCCTAACATTGGATCGTCATACTTTAAGAAAAGCAACTACATTTACTAAATGTTGACATTACACGAGTATTAAATACATGCTGAACTTGTTTTACGGACATTTTGAAACAAAAATATAAAGTTAAACTTAAACAAAATAGAAAAAAAACCAACAATTTATTCTTCACTTTTTACAAATAATACAACAGAGTTAAAGAGATCTAAACATTTCAACACTTTAAGAGACAATGAATAAAATGATACATCACCAGAATATCCAAAACCTTTCTTCTGGTTATGTGCCAACACATATTTTTTTCCCCTTTCTTAACATTTGTCTTAAAGGATAAAGTTACCTTAAGACTTGGAGTTTAAAAAAAATACACACACACACACACACACACACACACACACACACACACACACACACACACACACACACACACACACATTAATTTTCTATTCAAATACTAAGTTTAGAATACTTAAACATAGCATGATTTAAAAATAATAATGATTCTCCCGTTAAATTGTAGGATGTAATTTCAACTTCTCCAAACTTCAAAGCAAACCAGAATCAAGACACAGCAATAACATTAAGTCTTGGAAAGGTGAAAAACATGTTACAGCTGGCTAATAAATAAAATTGAAAGACTATCCTCTGTTTGACATAAATTATAACATGATTGTTAGAAACAACAGACTTAAATCTGAAAGCGGATCCTTTCACACATACCTAATAATGAATTATAATAGCATAAATATGCAAATTCAGAGCTTTTTGGTAAAGAACAAGATTCTAATTTCAGCAGTGGGCTTGTGTGGCCCCTTTGTTCTTACTGCATTTACCTGCTTAACACAAACCTTTCACATCATTTTCTCCAGAAATGTTACGATAAATCCACTAAATTCATAAGTGTTACATTAATTTTTTCCTTTTTTTAGAAACGCATATTAAGATAGATGTAGAACGCTTGCCCTACTTCAATTCAGGCATCTTATCTTCATACTGTGGAGGAGGAGTGATGGGTTCAATGGTTACTGGGTTCTGTGTGGGGGTGCGGATTTGAAGGCGGAAGTCCTTCAGGTGCAGTTTGTCAGATTTGATTCTTCTCACTCGGAGGGGCCGGAGCAAGCGGCTGGCCCGACTAGCACTGCGGGTTGGCATACTGGGGTTAGATGTAAGGCCAGCGGGTTCAGATGGAGGCTCAGCGGCTGCAGGTTGATCATTAACAGGGGTTTCGTCAGTCGTGTTGTTAGCGGGCTCTGTTCCCTCGTTTTCCACCGCAGCTATGATGTCCTCGTAGGACGGCAGGTGAGAGGTGCTTTGCCGAAGGTTACTCTGACGCACGGGGTACTCACTGCTGCTGACCACTTCCTCATAGGTTGGCACGTTGTACGTAGTTGGGTCGCTGGAAAGAGACAAAAGTTTTGACAAATCATTGTAAATGACACACTTTATAAGCCTTCTTTTGGCAACTTCGACAGTTAAAAGGAGCCCCAAAAACACAGCGATGACAAACCAAAGCTGTCAACAACCTTTTGCCGATTGACACCTTCAAAAGGCACCATACAGGCATTCATTCGTGTTTGTGTCCATCTTTTTCAGCTTTGTTTTGGTCCCCATAAACTCTTAAGTTTATTAGCTTTGTGTTTTATCTGCTTAATATCTTAGTATATTGACTAGGTAAGCGGTGCCGATGTCTGCTGTTTAAGCCAAAGTAGATTGTCAATGTTACTTTTTGTCTGAAAGAAGCTTCTTGTTGTGGCTCCAAGAAATTTATAAGAAACAGCAAAGGCCCACAAAATAAACTCAATAGTCTTTAATGAGTTCAACAAAGTAGTAAAAGCATGTTTTTCTCTGTTTTTGTTTAAATCACATGAGTTGCCACCTGCTGGCCATTAGAAATAATTCAGGTTTCATTCATTAGTTTCAAAGGAGCCAAACTTTAGAGGGTTTTTGTGTGTTAAGCTACTTAAATAGTGACCTATGAATCATTTCAGCGTAAAAAAGGTAAAAAACTCAAGGGATGAACAGATGTTCTGGATACACATTACAGACAACTTTAATTTACAATCTCTCCTATTTAAAAAAAAAAAAAAAAAAAAAATATATTTTTTCCACATTTCTCTTGTTGAATAAAATAAAAACTGATTTTTAAAAAAAAATTTTTGGGGATGGATTATAGAGGTAAATAAAATGCTAAATGTTTACTTAGTCCCTGACGTTACATAATTTGCAGTTTACTTGCAGTGGATCCTTTCCAAACAGAAAGACGGGGTACACCCTAGGCTATTGCAGAACAAACAGATTAGAGACAGACAACACCGGTACAATACCTTTTCACACCTGATTGCTAACTCAAGGAATTATCATATCATTTATAAATCCTAACATTTATAAATGATCTAGGAATAAAAATAGAACCAAACGTTATCACTTACGGCTGAGGCTCCTCTGGTATCGGAGTCATAAAGGGGACTCCTGTGGTCACAGGCTCACTCCTTCTATCCTGAGCTCTCTTCTTGCTCTTTAAACCAAGGCCAATGGCCAAGATCAGCATCAGTGCCCCAACTCCAACAAGCACCATGGCCACTGTTGGGGTCTTTGTGGCTCCTGAATTATTACCACCACCGTTGTTATTAGGTCCTGTGGAGTTGCCTGATGGTTTTGGAGAGGCACCCGAATCCCCTCCAGGTATCACAGTCCAAACAATCATGACAATGCCAAGGGCAATGACGCCCACTCCAAGGGCACACAGGGCATAGTGGGCGCCTGAACCAGAGCTCCTTGAGCTGTGGGATCTGTTGGGACGGCCGTTGTCACCGCATATACCCCGACTGGAACACATACCTGCAAAACAACCTGCAAAGGGGGGGGGGGGGGGGGGGGGGGAGGCTTTTCAGTTTGCACAAGCAGACACCATCTACCCCAACACTCCCCCAGAAATTTACCTCCTCTGTAGGAAATGATTTAGATCACAGTATCTGAATTTGTTTTTCAATTTGTGACCAAGTTTCTAAGATTACCACATTGTTATTGCCTGCGTCATGGTGCTTCTGTCTGTATTGTCTGTCTATTCTGTTAAGTACATTAAGCTTAATTTCTAGTATGGCCAATAAAGCTGATTTTGATTTTCCAGGGTAAGAACGGGCTCAAGAGTCCATATCTATTAGAGCACCACACGCATCACACGAGATGGGCCATGTCAATAAAACAAACCATTACCAGTTCCAGAACAAAAGGTTAAAATGACAGTTTGAGTGTTATCTCGCTGTATCCATGAACCGGTTTCAGACGCTATACTCTTAAAAACAAAAAAAGGCGCTGAGGCTACATTTTGCATGAGAAAGTAGGAGAACAGGTTAAAAGAAAACGTCAGGTGTGGTGCAAAACAGGTTACAGGAAAACAAAGAGTTCATTGGTAGTTCCACACATGTCTTAACATGACAAACACCAACCCAAGAGAAGGAAGGATGAAGATAAAAAAGTGACACAAAAGATCTTTGTAATGATCACAGAATCAAACAGAATAAAGAGTGTTTATAAAATTAGAATCAGATAAACATCTCACAGTAACACCAGGAACACCTACAGAATAAAATGCATTTTAAATTACTTTCCTGCCAAACAACATTTGTGAACCTTACTCTTTAACCAGAGGAAAAAAAAAAAAAACCCAAAACGCACATAACTGAAAAAATGATGCCATTGTTGGCTCCAAATTTCCAGAATGAAAACCATAGCCGCAGACTGCTCCTCTGTAATAGCCGTACATAAGCGTGACCTGTGCAGATGATTATGAACTAAAGCCGTAATTGAATGTTCACAAGCATGTCCAAGTAATGACATCCTACTCAAAATATCCCTTAAAAATAGCAGACATCATCTACTTAAGCTCTACACCTGTAAGTAGCAATGTTTAGGTTGTACTGGTGTAAATGTTCTTTGTAAAGCCACTATCGTTCACACATTCATACAGATGGCTTACAAATTTAAAAGATATGATGCCTTGACACCTGTAGAGAGGGCGCTCGGTGGCTCTGTTATGTTTGCTGGAATGGTTAGAATCCAAAGGTCGCAGCAAATCAACACACTGTTACTCAAAGTTCTCATCTGTATCCTATGATGAAATATTTCTGTCCCTGGAATGGTTGGGAATGATCTCTAACTGGATGACAGTTACCCCCTAGTCTATAGCAGAATTGATTGATTGATGAGAATGCAAATTATGTAAATACTGTTATATTCACTGTCCCCAGATCTCCCACTGGGTTGAGATCTGGGGACATCAGTGGGAGGTGTCACTAATCGATCTCGACCAACATCATCAAAACGGCAGATAGAAGAAAATCTTGGTGTTCCATTAGAAACCATCCAAAGACACAATGAAGCATTTCTCTGAGCATGTGATTGTGTGCTAACACATTTTATGTTAGAGTTCGCTTTAATTTTGTCACCTATCTGTATATTTAAGCACACCAGACAGACATCTCCCTAATTATTAAAGCAACTTTTGAACACTTTCATATACAATCAGGGGAAAAAGTAAGTTCAACTGTAAGGTTTTACATATCATCTGGTCCTTAATAGGTCTTAAAATGAGATAAATAGAACCTCAGATGACCAAAAAACACATGACTTATTACACCAAGTCCCTATTTATTTACCAAAAAATTGTTCAAAATGCCAAAGCAGCAGCTCACAGCCTAAGTACACCATAAGTAGCAATAACGTTCTATGCCATCGGTGTGGGAAGGGTTATAAGGCCATTTCCAAACAATCTTAAGTCCATCAATTTTCAATCACAAGTTGAAAACAATCAAGACAGCTGCCAATCTTAAGAGGAGTGCACGTTTCAGCAAATTCATTCCAAACGGGGACTATGCAATGTTTAAAAACAAAAAACAAAACAAAAAAAAAAACCTGCAAAAACCCACGACTTAAACCTCAAACTTCACAGGTCTCCGTTAAAATGTTAAATGGCTTGTTTGAAAGTGCTGCCAGGAGTAAGCCTCTTCTTTAAAAAAAAACAAACGAAAACAAAACATGGCCGCAAAGCTTAGGTTTGCAAATTTGCATCTGAACAAAGACTTCTGGAACAACGTCTTTTGGAAAGCAAAACCAAAGTGGCCCTGAATGCTTGTTTTTCAGGCGCAGGACCTGGACACTGCAGGTATTGAGTTGACTATCAACTCCTCTGTATAAGAAAATATTCTAGAGTCAAACATGAAGCCAACTGTTTGACAGCTAAAGTGCTGCTGAAACAGGGTCATGCAACAGGACAATGATCCCAAGCACAGCGGCAAATCTTGAACAGAATGGCTGAAAACGCAAAGAATGAAGGTGCTGCGGTGGCCCAGTCAAAGTCCAGACCCTAGCCTGCTTGAAATGTCATGGTGGGATCTTAAGCAAGCTGTGCATGAACAAATACGCAGACTGAAGGATGTGAGAGGTGATAAAGTTGAAGACAATGTGTTTACTTTAAGTTAATGCCGTTAAAGGTGGTTCTAAAATCTGCTGACTCATGGGGTGTGCTGCTTACGCATGTTAGCTTAGTATTTACAAATTAAATATGACAGGGGCATATTACTCTAAAGACAATTAACCTCCTAAGACCCAAACTCTTCCACGGCATGCATTTTCAATTTCACTTTGATATTTGGGCATATTGGGGCCCGATGAATGTAAAAACAAAGAATTACCAGTTTTGTTTTGTTTACCTTTTTTTGTTTTTAAGAAAAATAAGAGCCACATATGAGGATATTCATTTAAAAGTTTGATAGAACAGTAGCAGTATGATGTCCTCGTAAGTGGATATCAGGCCCTTGTAGAGCAAAATTGAGTATTTTGGTCTAAATAACCCAAAACGTGATGTCCACAGATGTGGATGCCAGGACCTAAGAGGTTAATTCACTTTTACAAGGTATTAATAATGAAAACAGTTCTTAATAAATAATATAAAATAAAGCCAAACCAAAACAAACAACAGTATTGGGAATTTACTCAGTAATATAAACTATTACCACGAAGGCAAAACTTCTTAGAGGAGGTAATTGTATACTTAGTTATTTAAACCAGAAATAAATGACTGAACTCAAATATAAATATTTAAAGATTCAAATGTTTGAAACCTTGGGAAGGCTGCAAAATAACCAGAAAAAGAAAGATGTTTAGACTACAGATTACTGAAATTTACATTTCACGAGTAACTGAAATTTAGAAAGAAAAAGAAGGAAAAAAAAAACCCTGCAGTTTTACATCACACTAATGTACAAAAATCTGTGTTTGTTTGTTTGCCCACATACCTTTATACAATCAAGAGTTGAGCAACCAAAACTGACATACTGGTAGTTATTCAGCCCCTGAAGGCTTTTAGCTGTATCAGATACCATGACCTCATCACGTTGTCTAGCAACCACCTACCAACTGGCTAAAATGAGCCATTTGTAGTGTTTATGCACCTACAGCACCTTAGTAAAAGCCATGCATCATTTTAATTAATCATGATAATAACACTGAAAATAAAGTTTCATTATGCTGCAGAGTAACCACCTAACAGAAAACTATAGTCACTGAACAAACAATGGCCATTTAAGACTAATACACGAAAGCAAAAGCGTTCAGTTTAGAGCCTGACTGATACAGGATTTGTAAGGCCGATACCAATATTTGGCGATTTATTTTATTATTCTGATCATTATCAGACCAATTTTTTTAAGAAAGACAAAACATAATTTTCCTAACATTTGTTATGTTATGTGTAGTCATTTATGTGCTCATTACACTATGAGCTGTATGTTGTTTTGTGGAATTTCAAACCTGTGTTGCTAACGGGGAAGTTGTAGAGTGTCCCCTGATGAACAATATGAAATGTCAACACGTACAACATGGTTGAAGATCATTTTCTTGTCTCTCATTTACTTTTTTTTAGTTTTCACTTATCGGCTGTTATGAATACTGATACCAGTGAATCAGAAAATAGTTGATATCGACCAATGATAGCTACCTACTAATTAACTGGTTTGGCGCCAATTCATTCATCATCTATTAGTCCTTATGTTTTTGGCTATTTGAATATCTTAAAAAAAAAAAAAAACAAAAAAAACCATACATATATAGTAAATAATTTTTGTAACTGTTTTTGCATGATTTCATTTTCTGGCCTAGAAGTGTGGATTAATTCAAATTTCTAATCTGTGATTTAATCTTTGATATGATACATCCATTTTATAAAAGGTGGAGAAGCATATGAGTGTACACTTCAGGGCACTTTGCTGATGTGATGGGATGAACAGTGACTTAACAAACAGCATTTTTCATTTAAAGCAAATGTGTACTCTTTTTGTAATAGCAGTGTGACACAAAACCATATCTATGGGCAGAAATCTGTGCCATCAGAAACTGAATTTGAATAAGTTCAATTTGAATTGCTCAGATTGAATCTGAATTGTAACTTGAATAAATGCTTTTGAAAACTGAATTTGAATTAGTCTAATTTGAAATTGAATTTATGGTTTGAAAATGATCATCACTAAATTGAAATTGAATTTTATATTTTGAAAATGAATTGATTTGCTTTGAAACTGCATTTTATCCTTTAAAAATTCAGCTCTCGAATAATTTCAGTTTCACTTCTCACCATTCAGTTTCAGTTCTACAATTCAATTTCAGTTCTACAATTCAGTTTTTTGGAACTTGCATCCGGTTCAAGCGCAGATTAATAGAACTACGTTTTACTAGCGGACCGAAAGTGTTACTGACGGGAATCTACAGTGTCTTGAGCTGAATTAATACTTCAGAAGTCATTCGTCATGTCGAATGACCAGCGGATAAACTCTCAGGTTGGTAATAAATGTATAACATGTATAAGAACAAGCGTCATGTTAACAAAAGATAGCCGTACAGTAACTGTTATGCTTATTGTAGCTGTTAGCTAAAAGTGCAAAGTGCTCTCTAGGGTTCCTAAATAAAATATGGCATTGAGGGAAATGACCTCAATGCCATATTTTATTTAGGAATTAATCCCTTCTTCTTAAATATAAGAACCTCTGCTGGTTTTAATGGCACTTTGGATTTCTTTACTTTCTGTTCCACTTCCAAACCCAAATAGATGCTGACAAGCTGACACAGTAACATGGAAGAGGGAAAGACGTTGGAAAGGACTACTACAAATAAACCTAATGCCTAACAATGAAAAGTGTAAAATAAGAACAATAATAATAATAAAGATAAAAGATGAAGTAACACGTTTTTAGTATTTTATTTATTCCAAATGATCATCCAGATGTCTGTGACATGTGATGACAAACACCATACTGGAAGGCCTTAGTCATCACATGCTTAAACTCATCATATATTTTTGCACATGCTGAACAGGCAGTCAGACATGCTGTAACTGTGGGGTAGAAAACAGCATGAACACCATACGGCAGGTCTCTCAAACTCCAGTCCTCGAGGGCATGGAAAAGTTGCATGACACTGGCCCTTGAGGACTGGAGTTTGAGACCCCTGTCATATGGAATATGACAGGTGTGGTTGAACTGCATGAAGACTCTGAAGTTTGTCTTCTCTTCTGGCAGGACAGGAATGTGGCCTTGTCCTGTGAGCCACTGTAAGGATGTAATTGTAAATGTAATTTAATGTAGTCTGCCTTAGCAGAGGGCAGGCGACTAAATTTAGTATAGGGGGGGGACAGCTGAATGATTGCATCTCCACTTTGATATTCATGACTTGATTATTAAGAATTGTTGAATGGATGCAGTATCTGACCAGGTCCTGGTGTTCCCCTCGTCAGTTATTAAACACACATGATCAAGGACGAAAAGAAGGTGACAGCTGCAAAAGAGGACTACATATAGACCAACGCTGTCATTCATTTTCTCTACATTGCAGGCCTGCTGTATTGCATGGGTGTGTCCCGTTCAACATCAGTAAATTTTTTGCATTAAAACTCGGCTTATCAGGTAATAAACACCGGCCCAGTTGGTCTGTTTTGTGGGTAACATTAATCTATCAGTCCGATATTACTACTGTCAAAGTAAATAAAAACGCTGGTAATGCTTTCTGGTGAAGCAGGAAGGGGAGAGGGTGGACCTGTCCACATAAATTACTCTGTGATCTAAACGTGTCCGGACACAGGTCAGATTGGATTGAACCCCACGCAATGACACTGAGAAAGATTAACAACTCGCGTACTGTGTCTATTAGATCGATAACAGTCCTGGTCACAGTATATACGAGCGTAAATCAGCTTAGCTCTGAAGTGTAGGCCTTACCTTTTCACCGTTCAGTGGCCAAGTACTTCCCTCTTCATCGGTGAGCTACCTGACTCACGCAGGTGTTTTCAGGAAGATCAGAGGGGAAGAGAGGGAGACGACATAGACGCAGCAATTCAGGGCCGGTTCAACTTTTTTTTCCTTTTAAAAAGTTTTTAAATCTCAGACGAATTGATCAACACAATGTTTACCGCTGCAGATAAAAACAGAGTTAACAAGAACTTTGCACAAATTCCAAGCGTAGTGAAACCTCGCCACCCCCTGTTGTAAAATGCGCCCGTGTTCTCTTGGTCCTAGTGCTGCTCAAGTAAACCTCCACCGGGAATAAATTAGTGGTACAAGGAGACGCCCAGAAACAGCTTATTGAAATAAAGTAATTGTATTGTACAACACGATTAATGTTGGATGTATTAACTGTGTTAATTACAGACACACACAATTAGATATTAGAACAATAAAACTATTGTCTTACAGGAATTAGACAGTATTTCAGAGCCCAGAGTAAAATATTTATGTTCTGTAAAAATAAAAATAAGCAAATCTTGGTTATTTAGTTGCTGGTGAATTTATTAAGGGTGCATTTATTGAACTCATAATTTTGCTTATAAATATTTATTGTTTACATTTAATTAAATTGTATTTATATGGCTGCAAATCACAACAACACTTGCCTCAAGGTGCTTTAATACAGCAAGCACCTGGTAATAGTGGGAAGGAAAAACTCCCTTTTAAGAGGAAGAAACTTTGTCAGAACCAGGCTCAGCGAGGGGCAGCCATCTGCCGAGACCGGTTGTGTATGAGGAGGAACACAAGACAGAAATGAATAATAACTAATGGTTGCAGAGGGGCCTGAAAGCTTAAAATAAGGTAGGGCCTGATTATTCAAGTAAGTAACTACATGCTTTGTCAAAGTATCTTTGGTATCTAAAAGAGAAAATGAGCTCCCGTGATAAGATCCTAAGAGAGTATCTTTATAGAAAAAGGCCGTTTATCACATGACCTTCAGGGGATTCAATTATTTATTTAAATCCTTATGAAAATCCTAATAATCCTAATGAAAGCTCTAGAAGAGCTGTTGGTGCGGTCGTTTTTGTCAGCTATAGTTTAGAAAGTGTCTTTTTTTCATATCTTGGGTCAGTGATAGAGGAGATCCCTAACACTACCAGTGATTTTAGTTTGAGATAATTACTGGGATTAACGGAAATATTTAAATGTGAAGCCTCATACACTTTTGTAGTGGCAGGTGCCAAGGTGCCTTGTGTGCCAAGGTCCTTGGGACCTGCTCTGGTTAGACGCCAAGAGGTCAGAGTGCACTACAGCCTGTAGTACAGCAATGGCTAATGGGCCATAATGCTATCTTAATTTGTACTAGTCAGCTTTAACCCTTTCCATGCTAGTAGTGTCTATACTTGGGCCATGTTGTGTTTGTTAAATGCAAACTGCTACCATTTACAGGAGTGATCGTGGCTTAAAGAGTTGGCAGTTCATCCTGTAACCGGAAGGTTGCCGGTTCGAGCCCCGTCTCGGACAGTCTCGGTCATTGTGTCCTTGGGCAAGACACTTCACCTACCGCCTACTGGTGATGGCCAGAGGGGCCGATGGCGTGATATGGCAGCCTCGCTTCTGTCAGTCTGCCCCAGGGCAGCTGTGGCTACAACTGTACCTTGCCTCCACCAGTGTGTGAATGTGAGAGTGAATGAATAGTAGAATTGTGAAGCGCTTTGAGGGTCTTGAAAAGCGCTATATAAATGCAATCCATTATTATTATTATTATTATTATTTCTTGCCAGATGTGGCACAACCTTCTGGTGCTAAAGTGACACAAATTCATCTTGCTCTCATACGGTGATCTTTGAGCAGAGAATAAGGTCAGTCAGATCACTGCAATTAATAAAAAATAAATGAGAATAATGTCCATATAGTTTTTTATGATGCGAGCTCTTATAATAACCAACTCAACAGGCTAATGTGACCATTCTGAGCTTCTTTTTAAGATAACACAGAAGTGTCGTATGCAAACAGAAAGATATATTTTCAAAACCCTTGGAAGAAAAAATAATTTACATCTGGACCAACTTTACATTCTGAGTTTGTTAACACAAATTTAATGCATTTCTCCTCAAAAATAACAATAACAGTCTTACATTTTATGCAACAATTTACAATAAATCCACTTTCATGTTGACATGTATGAAAAGCTTGTACTGCTTTGCAAAGAGATGTATATGTCATGTGTTAAAAGCAAATACATTGCATGTCCCTGTCTTCTTTCTCTGTACAGGTTTGAACTGGTCTGATCTTCCCGCTTAAACAGTTTCGCTTTGGTGAGTCAAAGAGACGCCCAGATAGAGACGGACAAACCTGTTCTCTGCTATTTGAAGTAACCTCAAGGTTTCAGCCACACTCGGTGTGGCTCTGTGCAAGTCCCAGCGGTGGCATTTAATGAGTGTTCTCATGCTCAGGAACAGCTGTGCATTATAAAACACGACCAAAACTGTACAGAATACACTGTTCCATTAACTTCATAGTATAATGGCACAAAGTTTTGCCTTCCTCACAGTTCACACAATACACATATGTGGAGTCTTTATACATTACCACATTCTTAATCCAACATTCCACAGATTTATCTACATATCACACTGCATCATCTTTTACATTAAAAAAACATAATTATGGGTATACCAACTGTCAGAAGAAGACACACACTTCACATGTCATTGTTTTTAGTAGCATCATCTTACACATTTAGAGCTGATGGCACTTGAGGGCCCTGTTCTTCAATCTGAAGGAATTTAGGCTAAAATACTTTTTTCAGGTTACAAGAAGCTGGTTTAGTCTCGTCAATCTAATCTGATTCTCTCAGCCTCCTTTAGGATTGGTTTGTTAATCCCAAATAAAAGTTCAAGGGAAAAGTTATGGAGAGGCATAATACTGGCTGAATGCTGAGCATGTGATTGCACTAACAGAGAGAGAGCTGAGACAATAGGCTTTTAACAAAAACTGGAAACATTCTGACCTGTCATTTCCCAGTGATCCCAATTAAATACGATACGTGGCACAGCTTCATTGTCAGTTCATTGTTTTCTTTTTTTTTTTTTCCTACAGCCTGCCACTTTATGTTATGATCTCTGGCAGATGATAGTAACAGTGGTAATGACCAAAGTGGCATTGCATGACAAGTTAAGCATCATGCTTTTTTTTTTTTTTTTTTTATGGCACAAGTATTGTAAAGGCTTCTGCAAAGGACAGGCCTGGGCCTCCTCTCTCCTCCAGATGCATTTAAGGAAGTAAGACTTTGTTGAAGTTGGCTTCTGATCAATTTCTGAGTCAATGGCAGGGCGATTCGGGAGAAGGTGACGAGGTAGATCAAAATAGAGAGATGAGAAAAACCTTTGGGTTTTGTATTTTACTGCCATTCTTCAGGAGTTTAACAGTTTCACAGAGACAAAACACGAAATATTAAACATGAATGAAGGGATGGACATGGTCAGCAGCAATACTCAGGAAGGCTGTGGAGTTTAGATGATGCTCAGCTGGTACTGAGGCTGAAAGTGTGGCAAGAAAATATGCACCTGCACCATTACGCCACCGTCACTGATATTACTGATACAAGGCAGGATGGATCCATGCTTTCATATTTTTTATAATAAATTCTGACCCTACCATCTGAATGTCAGAGCAGAATTGAGAATCATCTCATTAGCTTCTTCTCTTAAGTTATTGTCCAAAAACTATTATTATTACACACAATATCAAACAAAATCTATCTATCTGGGTTCTCACGTGAAAATAATCTCTCTCTTCTTCATTTAAGTCCCGTATGGTCTAGCAGTTGTAGGATTTCTGTTTTTTCCACAAAGTTGACACAGGTTCAAGTCCCAGTATGGAATCAGTCTTCAGCATGGCTGCTGTCCTGCATGCCTTGGTTGTAAATTGGGTTTACAACCAATTTTTGATTCTACTTGGACATGAGCAAGGCTTCTCGTCTTAGAAAACTGCCACGAATTTGATATTTTCTCTTTTTTGGCCCATTTTCTGTAAACTGTGGAGATAGGGATGACTGGGAAAATCCCAGCAGATAAGCAGTTTCTGAAATATTTTAACCAGCCCGGCACCAACAATCACGCCACATTCAGAGTCAATGAAATCACCTTTCTTCCCCATTCTGATGCTTTGGCAGGTCCTCTTGACCATGTCTATCATCTATGTAAATGAACTGAGCCACTGGGATTGTCATTGGCCGATTAAATATTTGTGTTACTAAGCAGCTGAACCTAACAACGTGTACCTAACAAAATAGCTGTCTTCAACCATCTCAAAGCTCTTGTAGTACACCTGTGAATGCCTCTAAAACTGAATACTAATTTACAGTCCTTTGACGTATGATTGGTAATTTAAATGCACTTTGTAAGTTGCAAAAAAAAAACAACAACAAAAAAAACCACATCACCTTAATCGCACTCCAGATGTCTCTGTTCTGTACAGCTTTCTGTGATTTTAGAAACATCCAGTCAACAAATCCAGTGTTCATGTCTGGTTAACTGGGTTAGCCATGTATGAAGAACAGGGCCCTCATCTATTCTGAATAACAGCTGATATGTGCTGTATCTTTACACTGAAAGTAAGTTATAACAACTTTTCTTTTGTCATTAACAGAGTTTTTCACTTGCAGCTTAAAAAAAACAAACATGTTAAAAAGTAGCAGTAATAAATAGTAACAGTGCTGTGAAGATCATATGGACCAGTGTAATATAAGGCATTAAAAGAGCACTAATTTCAATTATATAACTGTGTGAAGCCTGTTTTAAGCCTTCCCATCTATCATACAAATACCGGTATGATTTTTCCAATAATATATAAAAGTCTTGGAATACGTAGTTTAAAAATAAATTAAAATAAAAAATGAACCTAGCTATTAAGTTATCTTCCTTTCAAGTCCATCAGGTCACAATGATAAAGTTTATTTGTCTTCAGTAAATGCTTCTCTAAAGATGTCAGATTACTAAATCGAGTGGCATACCCCTTTAAGACATTCTCTTCCTATAATTCTAGTGTGGCTCAGTGTGAGTGTTTCTCAGCTGTAAACAACTGCAACACAACAAAAATGTAAACAATGGTTAAGATCTCGATGGCTGAAGCTGGTTCAGACGTTGGTGATTTCGACACTCTTGTAGGTGTGCATCGGGCTGCCTTTGGCTCGGGGAACCGCCTGAACTCTGGCCTCTCTGGGCAGAGAGCTGCAGCTGCCGTGGAAGCCCAGACTTCGCTCCACTGAGTGGCTGTTTGCTCGTAACCTCAGCGGAC